AAGTTCTCGTTTAAATATGAGCTTTCCCGTCCAACTACATCGATGAGTTGTTTGACCGTCTGGCAGGCAACCGCTTCTTCACGAAGATCGATTTTCTTAGCGGTTATCACCAGATCCACGTTGTTGCAGAGGATCAGCCGCAGACTGCCTTCCGATTGCGCTTCGACCACTACGAGTCCACAGTGATGCCATTTGGCCTCACCAATGCACCCGCCACCTTCCAGACGGCGATGGACGACACCTTCATGGACATCTTCATGGACATCTTCATGGACATCCTTCAAGAACACGTTCTCGAATACCTGGACGCTATGAATCCCCCGAGGTCATGACCGCGGGGTCAATCTCGGCCCGCGGTTTGGATCCCGACCGCCGAGGTCCGCTGCGGGCGGGGGCCACGGTCCCGATTTTGGAACAATTTTTTTCCTATTAAAAATATACCAAAAAAACAAAAAGAGAAAAATAGGGTTTTTGGGTTTGAAGATACCTACACGTATATATTTTTTGTTTTGAATGATGAAGTGTTTTTTTATTTTAAAAAAAATAATAAAATAAAAAAACAAGTATTTAAATAAAAAAAAACATAATTAAAAATATATATATATATATATTTTCATGTGTTTGTTTGTGTTCAAGTACGTCATGTGAAAATACAGCATGTTAAAGTATAATACGTTCAAACGCATCATGATCAAGCTCCAAAATAATAGATTGGCGCACCTCCATTCCTAATGAAGCTTCGCACAAGATTTACCCAGCCGCTATCGCCCTATATAGGAGACTCAAATGGTTTTTGTTGGTCCGTATAGGTCACGATTCTGCGCAATCATGTGACTCTTTCCGTAATTCCAGCAGACTTCGATCTTTGCCTTCCATCCAGAAAAAACGATAAAACGTTCCTCCCAGCGAAATGGGTGAAAAAAACAAAAATATATAAAAAAGAAGTTCGTATTCTATTCCCCAGAAGGAATAAAAATAGAAGATAAAAAAATAAAAAATAAAATATAAAAATATAAAAAATAAGGTACAAAATATAAAATATAAAATATAGAATATATAAAAGATAAGCAACGAGCAGTCATAAGTGCCAACCCCCACTGGTGGTTCCATAAGCATCATGAGGGCGGACGCTGACATATATCAGTCGTGGGGGCTCGATGCAACTTAAGGGGCAGTCTGGCGGAGCATGTCTTAATAATACCTAGTCATCCCTATCTATGTATCTATATAATTATATATGTTCGCATGTATATCATCAATCAATATGCCACATACGTAGTTTCCCACCGAGTGTATCCCTTTTATCAAAGATTCCTACGGTTGACTGTATTTTGATAACAGCCATTCGACATTACTGTTTGCTGGAGCGATAAAGCCGTTATAAGGACAACAACAGGTTGTTAAAAAATACTTCACAGGTCACAGTGGAAGGAAGATTAGGGGGGTTGTAGTGTGATTGGATAGTTATAGATAAAATGTGAAGACGATGTGTATGTCGAGTATTGTGTTGTGCGATGTCCTATACGTGCTAGCGCTCGCCATAGGCATCATTGGGGGGACTGCTGATCTAAATCAGCCTCCGAGTGCAATGATGTGTATGGGGGAGTGCTTGCAGTATTTCGTCGAGAAGCCAATCTTAGTTATGCATGGTCATCCTGCCCTTGACGCATGACGACAAACAATTGAATTACACATGTAGGGGTATAGGGGAGGGGGAGGGGTTATCGCGCATTTTTTTTTCACGATGAATAGATGAAAGAAAAACCAGCATAGATGACAAGGCAGATATCAAGCATTTGATCGCGTACATTTCTTAGTGAGAGCGGGTGCAGATAACAAATGATACGAAGCTTTCAAAGACGATTACTGATGCGAGAAGATTGAGTATTAGGGAGAATGTAAAGAGAAAAATAAGGAGATTCCATCATACGATTGCAGCAAAAAAATGAGCAAAAAGAACGAGCGAAAAAAAATTATCAATCAACACAGAAAAAGACAAAGATACGTAAATCCTCATCTGAAAGTCCGGCCTCTGTTCCGTCTCATGCGCTGAAGCTTTCAAACCAATCATTAAGTCCCACGTAACAATACTCCTGAACACACTAGTGACACAATCCGGTCGTATCCCCAGAGGCCTCTCCTCGTAATATGGGAGATCAGCCCCGACAGCCATAGAAGGGAGGGTAGTGTCAATCCCTGAAGCGTTTTTCTGCCGCCAGCCACAAATTCACGGCTTCATCAGAGGGTAACACCTGTCACCTGTCACGCAAGTTTCGGGGGCTTGAGCATAGCATGCGTGGGAAGTGTTTGCAAATGAAGCAGGAAGGCCAAGAGTGCAAAAAACGCGAGCAACGTGATGAAGGCAAGAAGGACAAAGGCAGAGATCTCGATAGCAACCCCTATCCTATCATCTGTGTGCTCGCCCTGCAGCGTCATTGCTCCTAGCGCCAGCAGTTTGCCCGAAACCCAACGAAGGATGTTATACGGTATGAGCGGGATGACAAAACAAGCTCTCATCCCCTATCTGCGTAGACCCAGCGTGCGACTGTTGCATGGTGCAATGTGTGCTTCTGTAGGCCGTGCAATGGAGCGCATATGCAGAAAAACTTGCGTCGGCATGCATCAGGGCGAGAGAGCAGGAGATTATACCACGTCCTCTTCGTCGCCGATCACCCGGTCCACCAAGTCTTGATCCACCTGATAGTCCATGGCGTCCTTCAGCAGTCTGTCCTTCGTCGTCCTTTCAGACCGCCTTGCCCCCACTAGTTATAAACAAAGCGTACTTATACCGGAGGAGATGCTAATTCTGGTGAATTGATATCTCCACCAGGCTTAGTGTAGCTTAGCAAAAGAACTGATGAGGACCGAGGGAGTCGCCCGTTTGCTAAATAATATCTTCTATCGTCAATCCCTATGCATAGCGGGTCATTCCGTCCTTGTCGATGCTTCCCCAAGGAACAGTGTGTGTCTTTTGGCGGGGAAACCGGCGGATTCTGAGAAGTCCAAGTTACGTGACGACAGACGGCCGAAACAAAAACCACAGAAACAACAAAAAGAAAAAAAAAAAAAAAAAAAAAAAAAAAAAAAAAAAAAAAAAAAAAAAAAAAAAAAAAAGGGAAGAAAAAGGGAAGAAAAAAAGAAAGTGAAAAAAACGAGTATGACGCGGATGAGCCAAAAAAAGTTTCGTTTTTCTTGCCCCTCGAACTGGCGATCTAATGATTAGCATTGGGATTTTGGTTGCCGCCGGGTCCGCGTGCCGCTTGGTGATACAAGGCGTGGCGGAGGGTGCTACCTCCAGTGGTTGCGTTTGTCCTTCTCTAATTCTGAAAAAGTCAAAGATTATCAATCAACTAAGACAAAAAAGACCAAAAAGAATATAAAAAACACAGAAATAAGAAGAACGTGGCTCAATGTGCGTGCATGCGTGCAAGAGTTGCGTGTCCTGGCTTCAAAGCTAGCCCTCTCTCTTTTTTGAAAGAAGTCCCTTATCCCATAACCTCCCGCAGAGGTTGGGGATAGTGTTTTCTTTTTTCGAGGACTGCGGTAATGGTTCCTGTACAGGCGCCGTCCCATCTTGTAAGGGTGATGCGGGGGAGCTTTGTCCCATGAATCGTTTATAGGGGAAACCTTTCTCTCTCGAGCATCGCATTCTTTTATTCTCTGCTTATTTATTTTTTTTTTTCTCGTTTTATTTTCTCACGGTCTCACCTGTCAATCTGTGTCCTTATTCCTTCCAGCTTTTGCTTCTCTTGTCCCTGATGAATCCTGTATGCATGTGTGTGTGTGTGTGCCCCGCCCCTTTCCCACCGGTTGGTAAGCTAGGGGGGAAGGCCTGATGCCGCGGGGGCATCAGGCCTTCCGGCCCTTTGCCACCCCGGTCACCACTACACCGTGACTCACAGACACCACATTACCACAGTTATTTACATGCGAAAGCGGGTTACGAGAATCCCTTTCATGATTGTATCATTCATTCGCCCTGGTTGGTACTTATCTCTGTTCTCAAATACCTTATTAACAACCTTCCAGCATTCCCTTCTGTTAAATCCATTAGTGATCATGATCTGTACAAGCGCGTTAATCTCCATGGCCGCGTCCATTTTCTCGGAGCAAATGATCAGGATTAGTACAGTCTGTGCAATCAGGATCTGTAATGATTGCGCCACAGACCTGTTCGATTTGAATTTCATAAATCTGACGGGTGTGAATGCCAAGTCTCTCTTCTTGTCATGCTTAGTTGTCATAAAGCTCCCATCCATGGTCGAGGTGATAGTGAGGGAGAGATTCTGGAAGTTGGCTACTCTGCCATGTCCCTCTACCGCGACCTCCGTGGTTTGCCTTACCTCAATGTACTCCTGTGGGTAGATTCTTCAACTCGCGTGGTGGCCTGGAACCCGTCTCTTAGGGATCCTCTTGTTTAGAGAACACAGATCATCAATGTACCTGTACATGTCTTGGAAGCAGCCTACCGCTTGCCAGTCCTGCTCGTCGACCAGTTGTGAGATTAGTTCAAACTCGTACTTGAAAAAGAATATGTCACAGAGTATGGGAGAGCAAGCCAGTCCCATGGGGATACCCAAGATCTGTCTCTACACCCTGTCTCCCATCTGTACCACCCCGTTCGTAATCAGCCACTCGCATACATCAATGATGCCTTGTTTGTCGAAATAGAGCCTGTCACGGTCCCTGTCTTGATATGAGCTGACCCAGTAAGGATACATTGAACCACTTGAACTGACAGCGACCGCAATCACATCTCTCGTGGTTCTCGCCCTTCTCCACTCCATCGCACATCCTACGAAGAACTTGATGGCTTCCACCAGCCCGTCCGTCGTTCTGTCCGTGGGGATCGTCTCGAAGCACTGTGTGATGTCTCCAGTATAGATTGCGTACACTCTCGTGGGGAGATTCGCGACAAATTCCCCAATGGATAAGATTGGCCACCAATAATTCGGCCTTACACAGACTTCTTGCTGTACGTCTTCGCTGTTCTTAGCGCAGAGTGCCTGGACGTCAATCGTGAGGAGCTTGAGGATGGAATCACATAGTTTCACCACCAGGGATAGTATTGAGCCTTAGGTGTTGGTAATCCATCTGAATGCTTCCTTATGCGCCTTGTAAACTGCCATGAGGTATGGCAGAGGCATTATGTCTTCCAGATGCGCAACAGGGACGAAGGAAGCAGCTTCTTGCAGGAACCTTGTTCCAACAAGCGCAGGTGCTTCTTCCACCGGTACGAGGTCGGGTCCTAGGAGACGCTCCAGTGCAAGTCTACTGATGAAGTTAATGCATACGAATGTTGGCGTATGTGGCGCCTTGTCAGTTGGGCAGACAAGGAATCTGTCAGTAATCCATTCGATCTCCCGCCTAACCGCCAGCCCATTGATTGGTTCCTTCACGATGTGCATGTGATTGGCATAATAGTCCCGCATACGGCTCTTCGCTTCCATGATGACAAGCTTCTTGACCTGCGTCTCTTCTGCCATGGTAAGCTCGGCATCACAGCATCGGGTGGTTAGTATCGCGTCGAGAGCTTCTTCTATTTCTCGGATGGCGAAGCCTTCGTCGAGTGCCCTGAGGGGGATGTGGTACAGTCTTGCGTTCATCATCAGCCGTAGTTGTCCGTTGTTCGTGATGCCGGTATCATTGGTGATGACAGGTGGGTACCCCTCCCTCGGTAGAAGTCTGATTGCTGCAGTGCTAAGGAAGTCCACTTGTCTGCCATCCCCGCATGCACAATGATCTGGTCGATAATCTGCTTCCCAGCCATCCAATCTAAATTTCTTGAACACCTTCCCTGGTTTGCATAATCTGGCACCCAACAACTCTCCGTACCGCCATCCGATCACCACCACATCCAGCCAGCTCGCGGACTTCTCCCCCACCACCTGCCTGAGCGCATCAAGGACTAATCTTCTCTGTGGGACTGCTTCCATGAGTCTACTTGTATATCTAATATGCACAAACTGATCCCGTATCTGCTCCCCTTCTCTCTTCCATGCCAATTCTCCTGATGGTAGGCGAACCATGCCACCACCTTGCTCTGCTTCGAAGAGATCCTCCTGCGCACGTCACCTCATTGAAGGCATCATACACGGGTGAATGACTATTCGGGACCAGATGTATGTGGTCGTTTAGAGAATGGAGGAATTCATCGGGATAACAATCGGGAGGTAGAAGGAGAAGGGCGATCCAAAAAAAACGAACTCGAAAGATTAGGAAAAAATAAAAAATTAAAAAATTAAAAAAATCTCTTTTTATTTGAAAAAATTAAAAACACAAAAGAAATAAAACCAATCAAAAAAATTGCCATGCTCACGAGGGTACTTCGGATGACTCCCTGTGGGCATCCTTTGTTCCTTTTACGGGGAGTTGATGCAATCCCTCCTCGCCCTCTTGTGGCTGGCTTCAACCCTTTCCTTGTTACCCCATCTTGCGGATTCTGCAGTGGAGATCGCCAATCCTGCCTGCGACGCCTGCCGTCCACTGTTACTTAACTCCTCGTATTAGGCCTGTCGTAGCGTTTCCCGACCGCCATGTTGCGCATGTTCCTACCGCCTAACTGTTCTTCGATTGGAGGGTTGTGTCTTCCCTTGCCCCCTTTGTGTCGTTACTCCTCTTGTTCCCTCTGAGGAGGGTGATTCTCGGGGGGGTCCATCTACCGTTGAGACCCATGATCGGGTCTGGGTTGGAATGGTATGACCCTTTGTCGTGGTGACACAACTAGTGGGAAGTTGTTCCGCTGCCTCTTCCGAGCATTCCGTGCGTCATTCGGGGAGTTGTGTGCTCTTACCTTCGGGTTCCCAGCCACCCTTACGGGCAGAAGCACTCTACCGATCGTGATTGTTGTGTTGTATTTCCCCTTCGATCTGTTTATGACCGATTTTGCTATGAGATTTAGGTCTTTCTCAAGAGCTGTTATGACGTCGGTCATGAATTCCCGGATGAACATGAAGGTTAGGCATGCCTCGATGGCGGGTTTCCATGAGATGCGCAAGAAATGGATGAATGTCGATGTTTTTACCTTGATCGATGCGACGTTGGGAAACAGGATATCAGGATGCGCTAGCAAGTACCAGATCGCCTGATCCATCCAGATTGGGGCAGCACCACAATCTTTTTTTCTCAGCGTTGCGCACCTGCATCTGAGGTAAGGTCTCCCTACGTTCCAACATTTCCTTAGCCCCTTGAGATCGGTTTCGTGGGCAGCCTTGATCTTTTTCTGCCACATGACTGGTGTAGTGTGTTCACATTTCGTATGATCCAACGCTGATAACAGGGGAAATTTTAGAACGGTTGGATTGAAGCTTGATTTCCCTGGTGGACAGTAAGGGAGTGATCCCGTCATCGCATTCGCTTTACATGCCGCGACTTCCTCGTTGGTCAGGTTGGCGAGAAATACGAGCGCGTTTACTGAGAAAGGCGCAAGGAAGTTGAATGTGCCCAGCTTCCATAGCGCGTGCTGGAAACCCACCCCAGTGTGCTCTGTCCAGTGCTGTGATGGAAGAGGGGCAAAGGCAGTGTACTGCCTTCCCTGTGAGGAAGTCTTCTCCGGGGAGTGGCTGGCTGACTACATCGATGAGTTGTTTGACCGTCTGGCAGGCAACTGCTTCTTCACGAAGATCGATCTTCTTAGCGGTTATCACCAGATCCACGTTGCTGCAGAGGATCAGCCGCAGACTGCCTTCCGGTCGCGCTTCGACCACTACGAGTTCACAGTGATGCCATTCGGCCTCACCAATGCACCCGTCACCTTCCAGATGGCGATGAACGACATCTTCATGGACATCCTTGAAGAATACGTTCTCGTATACCTGGACGCTATGAATCCCCCGCGGTCATGACCGCGGGGTCAATCTCGGCCCGCGGTCTGGATCCTGACTGCTGAGGTCTGTTGCAGGCGGGGGCCGCGGTCCCGATTTTGAAACAATGTTTTTCCTATTAAAAATATACCAAAAAACAAAAAGAAAAAAATAGGGTTTTAGGGTTTGAAGATACCTTAACGTGTATATTTTTTGTTTTGAATGATGAAGTGTTTTTTCATTTTTAAAAAATAGAAACTAAAAAAATAAGTATTTAAATCAAAAGAAAGTTTAAAAAACATAATTAAAAAAAAAGGAAAATTTTTATTTTTCATGTGTTTGTGTGTGTTCAAGTACATCATGTGAAAATACAACATGTCGAAGCATGATACGTTCAAACGCATCATGATCATGCTCCGAAATAATAGATCGGCGCACCCCCATTCCTTATCAAGCTTCGCACAAGATTTACCCAGCCGTTATCGCCCTATATAGGAGTCTCATATGGTTTTTGTTGGTCCGTATAGGTCACAATTCTGCGCAATCATGTGACTCTTTCCGTAATTCCAGCAGACTTCGATCTTTGGCTTTCCATCCAAAAAAAAACGATAAAACGTTCGTACCAGCGAAATGGGTGAAAAAAAATGAAAATATATAAAAAAGAAGTTCGTATTCTATTTCCCGGAAGGAATAAAAATAGAAAATAAAAAAATAAAAAATAAAAAATAAAAATATAAAAAATAATATACAAACTATAAAATATAAAATATAGATGATATAAAAGATAAGCAACGAGCAGTCATGAGTGCCAACCCCCACTCGCAGTTCCAGAAGCATTATGCGGGTGGACGCTAACATATATCATTCGTGGGGCCTCGATGCGGCTTAAGGGGCCGTCAGGCGGAGCATGTCTTAATAATACCTAGTCATCCATATCTATGTATCTATATAATTATATATGTCCGCATGTATATCATCAATCAATATGCCCCATACGTAGTTTCCCACCGAGTGTATCCCTTTTATCAAAGATTCCTACGGTTGACTGTATTCTGATAACAGCCATTCGACCTTAATGTTTGCTGGAGCGATAAAGCCGTTATAAGGACAATAACTGGTTGTTAAAAAATACTTTACAAGTCACGGTGGAAGGAAGATCAGGGGGGTTGTAGTATGACTGGATAGTTATAGATCAAATGTGAAGACGATGTGTATGTCGAGTATTGTGCTGTGCGATGTCCTATACGTGCTAGCGCTCGCCATAGGCATCATTAGGGGGACTGCTGATCTAAATCAGCCTCCGGGTGCAATGATGTGTATGGGGGAGTGCTTGCAGTATTCCTAGTTATGCATGGTCATCTTGCCCTTGACGCATAACGACAAACAATTGAACTACACATGTAGGGGTATAGGGGAGGGGGAGGGGTTATCGCGCATTTCTTTTTCACGATGAATAGATAAAAGAAAAACCAGCATAGATGACAAGGCAGATATCAAGCATCTGATCGAGTATATTTCTTAGTGAGAGTGGGTGCAGACAACAAATGATACGAAGCTTTCAAAGACGATTACTGATGCGAGAAGATTGAGTATTAGGGAGAATATAAGGAGAAAGAAAGGGAGATTCCATCATACGATTGCAACAAAAAAATGAGCAAAAAGAACGAGCGAAATAAATGATCAATCAACACAGAAAAGAGCAAAGATATGCAAATCCTCATATGAAAGTTCGGCCTCTATTCCGTCTCATGCGCTAAAGCTTTCAAACCAATCATTAAGTCCCACGTAACAATACTCCTGAACACACTAGTGACACAATCCGGTCGTATCCCCAGAGGCCTCTCCTCGTAATATGGGAGATCAACCCCGACAACCATAGAAGGGAGGGTAGTGGTGATCCCTGAAGCGCTTTTCTGCCGCCAGCCAGTAACTCACGACTTCATTAGAGGATAACACTTGCCACCTGTCACGCAAGTTTCGGGGGCTTGAGCGTAGCATGCTGGGGAAGCGTTTGCAAATGAAGCAGGAAGGCCAAGAGTGCAAGAAACGCGAGCAACGCGATGAAGGCGAGAAGGACAAAGGCAGGGATCTCGATAGCCACCCCTATCCTATCATCTGTGTGCTCGCCCTGCAGCGCCATTGCTCCTAGCGCCAGCAGTTTGCCCGAAACCCAGCGAAGGATGTTATACGGTATGAGCGGGATGACAAAACAAGCTCTCATCCCCTATCTGCGTCGATCCTACGTGCGGCTATTGTGTGGTGCAGTGTGCGCTTCTGTAGGCCGTGCGATGGAGCGCATGTGCAAAAAAACGTGCGCCGGTGTGCATCAGGGCGAGAGAGCTGGAGATTATACCACGTCCTCTTCGTCGCCGATGAGCAGGTCCACCAAGTGTTGATCCACCTGATAGTCCATGGCGTCCTTCAGCAGTCAATCCTTAGTCGTCCTTGCAGACCGCCTTGCCCCCACTAGTGATAACCAAAGCGTACGTATACCGGAGGCGACGCTAATTCTGGTGAATTGATATCTCCACCAGGCTAAGCGTAGCTTAGCAAAAGAACTGATGAGGACCCAGGGAGTCGCCCGTTTGCTAAATACTATCTTCTATCATCAATCCCTATGCATAGCGGACCATTCCGTCCTTGTCGATGCTTCCCCGAGGAACAGTGTGTGTCTCTTGGCAGGGAAACCGACGGATTCCAAGAAGTCCAAGTTACGTGACGACAGATGGCCGAAACAAAAACCACAGAAACAACAAAAAAAGAAGAAGAAAAAAAAAAAAAAAAAAAAAAAAGGAAGAAAAAGAGAAAGTGAAAAAAACGAGTATGACGTGGATGAGCAAAAAAGAGTTTCGTTTTTCTTGCCCCTCGAACTGGCGATCTAATGGTTAGCATCTGGATTTTGGTTGTCGCCGGGTCCGCGTGCCGCTTAGTGATACAAGGTGTGCGGAGGGTGCTACCTCAAGTGGTTGCGTTTGTCCCTCCCTAATTCTGAAAAAGTCAAAGATTATCAATCAATTAAGACAAAAAAGACCAAAAAGAATATAAAAAAACACATAAATCAAAAGAACGTGGCTTAATGTGCGTGCATGCGTGCGAGAGTTGCGCGTCCGGGCTTCAAAGGTAGCCCTCTGTCTATTTTGAAAGAAGTCCCTTATCCCATAACCTCCCCGCAAAGGCTGGGGATAGTGTCTTCTTTTTTCAAGGATTGCAGTAATGGTTCCTTGTAAGGGTGATGCGGGGGAGCTTTGTCCCATGAATCGTTTATAG